GGAGGAGGAGGAGGAGGAGCAGCAGGGATGAGGAGGGGAGACGAGGGGAGGAGGGAGGAGAACGGGGAACAGGGAGAGGGGAAGGGAGGAGGAGGAAGAGGAGGAGGGGGACCGAGCAAGAGAATACAGATGATAAGGGAAACGACCAGAAGAATTAGCAGCGGCAAGTGCACCGTATCCTCCTGCTCCTCGTTCCTCGTCGTGGTTGCGTTGTTTTTTTTGACATGTGCGGAGGGCTCCTCGTTGCCATGGCTGGCTTCGCTTCGAAATTCTGGAAGACTGCATCCTGGACCCTGGTTCGCCGTCGCCCCTCGACCACGGCCTCCTCCTGCTCCTCGTTCTACCTCACTCCTCCTCATTATCCTCCTTAGTCTCTCTGGTGCTCTTCTCGTTCCCTTCCTTCTCCTCTTCATCGTCCTCGTTTCCTTGGTTTTCCGTCCGCGTCCTCCGTGTTATGTATCCTCCTCCCCGTTCAACTCCTCCGCCTCCGCCGTCGCTGCGCCGCCCGCTCTGGCTCGGTCGCACGACGGAGCTGTCGCGGATCGACGAGATCGATGGCCCACCGCGCCGCGCCGCGATGTCGTTCGACTTGGCGGCCGAGGCGCAGCTCGACAGGATGGCGGCAGCGCTGCCAGAGGGCGTCGAGGCTGCCACGGGAGGGAGAGGGCGCCCGAGGTCAGGGCAAGCAGGACGAGGAAGGAACCAGGAGGAGAGAATACGATGATGATGATGATGATGACGATGATGATGATGAGGAAGAGGAGGAAGAGGAGGAGGAGGAGGAGGAGGAGAGGAGGAAGGAGAGAGACGACGGATAAGAGAGATTCGAGGAGAGGAGCATCAAGCGTAGACGAATAAGGGAGTGCGAAGAGCGGGCGGAAGTCGGAGGCGGAGAGGGCGGGGTCTCGACAGGGGAGGAGTCTCCTCTTCCTCCCCCCTCTCAGCTTCCTCCTCCTCCTCCTCCTCCTCCTCCTCCCCCTCCCTCTCAGCTTCCTCCTCCTCCTCGTCTTCATCCTCCTCGTCTTCTTATGTTTCCTCTGATTTATCCTCGTCGTCCTCCTCCTCCTCTCCCCCCCGATTCCTTGCCCTCCCCGCCCTCGTCCAGGCCATCACTCGATCGAATTTCGAGGTGGATCCAGCAGTCGCGACGAGGAGGGCCCAGGAGGGCCCGTCGGACCTCCAGGTATCATGATATCGTCGTCGTCATTGTCCCCGCCGTCGTCGTTTCCCTACCCTCATCCTCCTCCGTAGCCAGTTATTAGGCTCCAGGCGTCTCGCGCCGAGACGCCGAGGCCACCGCCTCGGCGCAGCGATGGCGCCCAGGCGGCGCCAGCGCAAGACCGCAGCGGCCGCCTCCCCGGTGCCGTCGGCGGCGTCGGCCCCAGCGCCCTCGCCGCGCCCTTCGCCGTCGCCCGAGCCAGGCGGTGTCGGCTCGGCCAAGGAGGATAGCCTGACGGCGATCTTCGCGGAGTGGATCGTGCAGTCCAACACGCTGAAGTACAGGACGGACCTCAGTGGCCGTATGGAGAAGGACAAGCTGCTCGATCACGCGTCGCATCTCAAGAAGGTGCGCGAGGTGAACACCACGGACAAGGGCATCATCTCTCGCGCACTCGAACGCCATTCGAAGACCAAGGAGAAAGAGTGGCACTTGGCCCTCGAGCGGGCGAAGTGGATCGAGGACAACACGAAGATGGTGCGCGCGATGGTGCGCGACATAGACCAGGCCATCCTCAAGCACGAGGCTCGCGTCAAGGCCTCGGGTGGCGGCAACAAATCGGGGGGCTGGCTCGACGTTTTCCTCGGGTACCCCGACGCCGACGACGGCGAACAGGACGGCGCCGAGGAGGAGGCCGAGGAGGAGGACGACCCCACCTTCGAGCGCGATCTCTGCGTGGACGTCGACTCCGAGGCGAAGCCGTCGGCGGCGGCGGCCGTCAGCGGCGAGCCGGCGGCCTCCACGGGCGAGGCGGCCTCCGCGAGCGCGGGCAAGAAGCCCGCGGCGGCGCCGCAGTGGATCTACGGCTGGGACGACGAGCAGCAGGCTTGGAGTGCTAGAAGCGTGTTCGCTCCCCCCACCCCCGTATGAGTTCGCGTATGAGTTCGTATGAGGTCGCGTGAGTTCGTATGAGCTCGCGCGAAGTCACGCGCGAATTCAACGAGAAATGATGGGAATGGTGAGGAGGGAAGGATGAGGAGGAGGAGGAGGAGGGGGAAGACGATGGGAGAGGATCTAGACAATGCTGAGGGTTAGATCTGAGGGAGGTGGAGGCCAAGGAGGAGGAGGAGGACGAGGAGGTTTAAGAGGAGAGAGGATGAGGATGGCGAGAGAATCGATGAGGAGAAACGTAAAAGTATGAGGAGGAGGAGGAGGAGGAATGAGGAGGATGAGCAGGACAAGGACGAGGATGGAGGGATGGGGGGAGCGAAATCTTCTGGCAACCGATAGGCGGCCTGGCGGAAAGGCGGATCCTGCGCGAAGGGTATCCAGGAGCTCTCGGACCGCATCGACTTCGATAAGCAGGGCGGCGTCGTGGCTGTGTGGTTGGACTCGAGCGGCATCGAGATCGACAGGTGGACGATTGCTGGCATGACGGCGGATGCGTACAAGGCTCCCCAGAAGCCCGCGCAGAAGAAGGAGACGCTCGAGAAGGTCTGGAGCACCACCAAAGGCGACGTCGAGTACTACGTGAAGCCGAGCCGCAAGAAGACCGAGGAATGCCTCATCTTGTGGGAGCAGGTTGGCAGCAAAAAGTTTCAGCGATGCCAGTTGATTTTGACGGGCCAGGACAAGGACAAGTGCACGCAGTACATGGTCGATCTCGGCAAGTGGTACGCTGCTGGCAAGATCGCCAGGGAGAAGCTCATCGCGCACAAGGACGCCTTTCTCGGCCTGACGCCGAGCAAGAAGGTCGCCAAGCGGCCAGCGGCCGCTCAGGCGTCGGAGCCAGAGACGGAGGGGGCAGCGGAGGCGGCCGAGGAGCCCGCCAACAAGATGAAGAGGCCCGCGGCGCCCCCTGTGAGCAAGAAGCCCGCGCAGAAGACGGGCGCCGCGGACGAGGGCGCGGCGGCGGGCGCGCAGGCGACGGGCGCCGCGGACGAGGGCGCGCCGAGCCATGCGGCCGCGGCCGCCGCCGCTCCAGGCGCCGTGGCCGCCGCCGCTCCAGTCTCCGTGGAGGAGGCGCCCGCTCCGCCAATGACATTCTTGAGCGACGAGCGAATGGAAAATCATCCTCCTCCTCCTCCTCCTCATCTTGCTGCTGCTGTTCCTCCTCTTCCCTTTCCTCCTCCTCGACCTCCGTCACTTTCTCCACCTCATCCTCCGTCGTCCTCGCCCTCCTGAGCCCTGGTCCCCCCCCCCTCCTCCTCCTGCGTTATCCTCTCGCCCTGTCCTCGCACTGTCATCCTCGTCATGTCCTCCTCTTCCTCCTCCTCCTCCGCCTCTGTCCTCCGTCCTCCTCTCCCCTCATCGTCCCCCTCATCCCCCTCCTCCTCCCCTACTCCAAATCATCCACCTCGATCCTCGGACGGCAGGGGGATGAGGGATACGATGAGAGGCGAGGGGAGCAGAGGGTCGCAGAACGAGGGAGGGAGGATCAGGTGGACAGGGGGGCTGACGCGGTAGGGAGTACGAAGCGGAAGAGCAAGAGGATGACGAGGAGGAGGAGGAGGAGGAGGAGGATCGGCGCATGAGGAGGAGGAGAGAGGAGTGCCCCCTCCCCCGCCGCTCGCAGGCTGTGGGGACGGCGCCGTCGGAGATCAACAGCGCCGACGGCGAGCAGCAGGCGATCGAGCAGGGGGTGGAGCGGCGCCGCGTGAGGCGCAAGAAGGGCAGCGGCACCCACGACACCCAGGTCGACACGGCCCCCGAGCGCGCGCCGGACACCCTGGTCGAGGGGGCGCTGGATGAGGCCAATGGGAACTTCAATTCCTCTCTCCCCTCTAAACGGCGCAGGGACTTTTTCCTTTTCCGCGCAGGGCACCTCGCGCATCGTTTCTATGGGCAAGCTGCTAGCTCCCTAGCGCAGCTTGCACGAGGAGGAAGGAAGGATGAGGACGAGGACGAGGATGAGGACGAGGATGAGGAGGATGAGGAGGACGGAGGATGAGGAGGATTAGGAGGAGGAAGGGGACGAGGAAGGCGGAGGACGAGGAGGACGGTGACAGGGAGGAGGAGGAGGAGGAGGAGGAGGAGGAGGAGGAGGAGGAGGAGGATGGAGGACGAGGAAGGAGGAGGGCGACGATGACGACGACGACGACGACGACGGCGACGACGAGGAGGGGGGAACGCGCCTCCCTGCCAGAGGCGGCGTCCGCGCAGTCGGTCCACACTCCTGCTCACGACCACGGAGGCCGCGCTGGATCGGCGTCGGCGGAGAAGGAGCGATTCGGGAAACCGATACCACCGCTGTCGTCGTTGGTCGTCGTCGGTCGTCGGTCGTCGTCGGTCGTCGTGGTCGTCGTGGTCGTCGTGGTCGTCGTCGTCGTCGTCGTCGTCGTCGTGGTCGTGGTCGTCGTCGTCGTCGTCGTCGTCGTCGTCGGAACGAACAACTATACATTCGCGACCGTGTAAATGTAACCTCAAGCGGTGCGCACCGCTGTGGGTCACATTTATGCGGGCGCGAATGTGTAATTTTTCGACCCCCCGCATGTTCCACTTCCCCCCTGGACCCCGCCCCGAATGTTCCCCGCGTTCCGCCCCAGGAGTTGCGCCCCGCAGGCAACCAAGAGGACTTGTCCGACGTCGAGGTGCTCAGTACTGGCCAGGAGACGGGGCATCCAATAGAGCGATGGGGGGCGACGAGGGTAGACGTTGTCGTCGTTCTCAACCTCCTCCTTCTCCTCCTCCTCCTCCTTGCCCTCCCCCTCTTTCTCCTTATCCTCCTCGCCCTCCTCCACCTCCTCCTGGCTCCTCCTCCTCCTCGGCCCCCTCTGACGACACCCCCCACTATCCTCCGAGCCCCCGCCTTCCCCTCCGTATGTTTGCGGACCCCTCGCAGGACATCCCCAAGTTGGGGGCTGCGTGGAGCCGCAGCGGCAGGGCGCCCGCCCGTACTGGCGACAGCGGCTCGCAGGCGTCGGGCCAGACGCTCGGGGCCTCCCCCGAGGAGGTGCAGGCGGCTTTCTCGCTGGTGGCAGCGGTGACGAAGGCGAGAAACGATGAAGAGCTGCGTCGCGCGGCCGAGCTCGACGCGGTGTTCGGGCGTGCCCGCGGGGTGCCCGGTGAGAGGGGGGCGCCGCCCGCCGCGGCCGCGGCGCCGCCCGCCGCAGCCGCGCAGCTTGCCGACGCGGAGGGCGTCGCCGAGGCCGCCTCGCAGCCGCTGGGCGCCATCGAGGTCGAGGAGTCGGCCCCTTCGCCGCCGCGCCGACAGGGCAAGAGGGCTCGGATCGCCAGCAGCGAGTCGCCGCCACCCGCGCAGCGCAGCCCGGTGTAGCGGGCTCAGCCCATGAGGCGCGCAGAGCGCAGCCCGCAGCGTGCGGGTGGCGCCGCCGATCGTGCTTTCTCGCCGCCGCCCGATCGCCAGGACTCAAGATGCTTCCTTGATGATGCAGACGAGGATCGCTTCCAGGTCGCCAGGGTGGGGGAGCAGACCATCAACGCTGTGAAAACCCACTTGGACAAGATGGAGGAGTCGTTCCTCTGCGAGGGCAACCAGATGTTCGAGCGCGCGCAGCACTGCCTGCACAACACTGAGACCATGTTTATGAAGCTGAGCGACCAGAAGCCCGACAACTGCGATGAGCTGGTCAAGATCATGCACGAGCAGAAGGTTGCCCGCGATAAGGCGAAGAAGGAGGCAGGAGAGGGGGAGCCAGAAGATCAACGCTCGGAGCAGCAGCAGGCCGACGATAACCTGGACGAGTACATGGATGCCTTGAAGCAGAACAACTTCCACTTCACCCTGGAGGGCGGCAGCATCATGGCTGGGAGGTGGCGTCGCGCCAAAGAGGCTGATGAGCAGTTGAGGAAGGATTACGACGCCCTCAAGACCGCGCGTCGCTCTGTCAAGGCGGCCTTCAGGGCCAAGTTCGCGAAGAAGGAGTACGACGAGCACATCGAGGAGAGGAGGTACACGGAGAAGCTGGAGACGATTGACACCAACAAGGGGGAATACCTCCCATTGCAGCGCATCGCGCACAAGGAGGGGGGCGGTCGTGAAGGACTGAGGGCGGCAGTGAATCATTGCCTGCGCTGCCTCCAGATGTGCGACAAGTGGGTCTGGTACGACGAGTGGACGCGCCGCATCAAGTTTCTCTACTTCGTCAGGGGCCTGAGCGAGAACTTCACGAGGGCGTGGTCGATGCACCAGACGTGGCGCAGCAAGAGGATGCTGAGGGACACGGCGTCTTCTGGCCCAGGACGGCGGGCCCTAAATACTCCAAACGGTCCCTGAGTGAACGTGCCTTTCGAGGACCCTGGAACTACCTGATGCTAAACTTTCAACTTTTGTCCCATTCTAGTTTCGGGGCTGTTTACTCCAACTCGCGGTGTGAAACTAGAGTTCTAGACGCGTGCTTGTTTTCCATGGGCGCAACCGCCTTGGGGTTCAGGGCGGGGCACGCGGCCAAGTATTGATGTAGCGCACTCCCAGGACAGGGCGAGCAGACTGGCGGCGTGCCCGGTGGCGGCCAGCCTGGTGGCGGGGGTCAGCCGCAGGTCAGCCTTGGCGGCGACGGCGAGCCTGGTGCTGAGCGGAAGGGCACGAAGCAGAAGAAGGCGCTGTCAGAGTCAGAGAAGCGCTGGCGGAAGAAGCTCTCAGAGGTCACGAACGCGTGCAACAAGACGAAGATCTCCCACGACGCAGCCGTCTCCGCGGCGAGGTCGGTGACCGCGAACCTGAGGGGCAACGATGCGGACTGGAAGAAGTTCGTCAACTTCTTGCCTGAGCTGGAGGAGGCGACGCAGGAGCTTGACAATGTGTCGGGCACTGGCTTCGCGGCGATCTTCTTCGCCGCGGGCTCCGTCCAGAAGGTGAAGAAGGAGATGGACGAGAAAGAGTTCGCCAGGGACGCGGAGAAGTTCGCCGCCACGATGGCCCCGCTGATCAAGAAGGTGTCTGGATTGTGCAAGAAGCTCAACGACATGCACGCGCAGGCCACCGCTGATTAGGGGGCCAGCTTGTGCGCTGGCGGGGTACGGCTAGCAGCGCCATGCACGTCGAGCTCGCCTCATCTTCTCCACTCTTGTCCTGTCTCTTGGCTATGGTTCATCTTTGCTTAATGCAAACTCCTCCCACCATCGTAGTGCTCCTACTCCTGACCTCCGACTCTTCCTGTAAGCCCGCTCCTAGTCTCCTCCTCCCCCTCCTTTGAGCCCGCCCCTGGTCTCCCCCACGCCCCATCCTTCTCCTCCTCCCCTCGTCTCACACCTGGTCATCCACCTCGTCCCTTCAGATCCCAGCGCGGCCGATTTCTTTTGAGCAAGGCGCACGTGCACCTTGCAGCAAGCACACTGCGAGAGCGCTCAGGTCTGTCTGAGCGTGGAGGGGGAGAGTAGTAAGGGACGTCACGCTTGGGATTGAGGGCCGCCGTCAGCTTCCAGAGGCACGCTCGAGGGGATCGTGCAAGAGCCGCCCAATGCTAGTGTTATTTGAAGTGCGCGTGCGCACGCAGAGTTTCAGTCGCACTTTCGATGCGCCGCCGTTCAGCTGCAGGGGGGAACTTGCGGTGGTAGGACAGCGGATGAAAAGTCTGGCGCGGAACGTGAGGGAGAGAACACGGGAGAATGCGCGCTTGGCAACGGGACAGACGCTCCGCCGCCCCGTCAAGGGGCACCCTGGCCATGAGCCTCTCTGCGCCCACTTCCGCGGGCCTCCGACTCAATCAAATCGTGCTCCAACTGATCTTTCGCGGCCCCAGCGGGCCTCAAGCGCCCGCATCCGGCCTGCGCGGCAATTTTATCCAGGGGAGAGGCCCCCAGTGGCCGTATGAGTTTGCGTATGAGTTCGCGTATGAGTTACCGTATGAGTTACCGTATGAGTTTGGTACGAACCGTGTGAAAAAACCGGGTCCGAACCGTATGAGTTCGGGACACAGGGTACCGTATGAGTTCGCGTATGAGTTCGCATGAGTTCGTATGAGTTTGGAATCTGCAGGGCGAACCCGCCTGGGGCCCCTCAGTGCCGGCCCCGGTACTGTCCGAGGCCAGCTAGCGCCAGGGCAACGTGTTGTGGGCCGGCGGGATTAGCATCAGCAGTCTTGCAGGTGCATTCGCGTGGCGATCACTCGTTCCTGTCTCATGTCATCCTCGCTCCTTTCCCTTCTCGCTCCCTCTGCGCCCACTCCATTCCATTGCTGCACCCATCCCATCCCTGCACCCATCCAGGACTCACCCCGCTCTTACACGAAACCCTATCTTTCCACTTACCCCATCTCGTTCTCAATCCTTCCCATCTCGATCTCCAGGCACGCGGCGGGCCCTGGCCCTGCGAGCGCGCGAGCGCAGCATTTTGTTCTCAGGGGTATGGGGAGAGCCCCGCATCTGTAGGATGACAACATACAAGCGCAGGAAATTTCAACCAGGTTTCCTAGACACAGAGCCCGATAATGAGCAGCGGCAGCGCGCCGCGGGCAACGACCTGCTGATGTGTATGTTGTCACTATATGCCACGCAGAAGCTGAACGCAAGGGACCTTTGTACTCTCGCATTCCACGCTAACAACGCGGGGGTGAAGGGCGCTGACTTTACTCTCTATGCGGAAGCACCTGGCTTGGACTCAGGAGCATATCAGGAGCCTCAGTTGTTTGTCTACCTATTTATCTTGGCCCAGGGTCCGCCTAGCGTTTAATTGCTGCATGTTCATTCCAGGGGCGGTCGGTTTTCAATGTGTTTCTCGGGGCAGGATTCGAGGGCGAGGATATTTTATAAACCGTATCTCCCAGAAAGTATTGGACCGCGTATTACCAGCAGGACCCACGCTTGACATTATCAAAGCGATGCAGGTGGACAACAAAACAGCGCTGAACGAGGAGGGCAATATTCTCGTCCGTCCTCCGCTAGAGGCTATTTCGGCAAAGAGAAACGTGGACCCTAGCATCCTTGACGTGGACCTTGCATCCATGCCCCCATGCTATCACACCAACCCGATCGTCCAGGCAAAATTGAACCGCGGGGAACCCCCGCCTGTCCCGATTGCTCTTTTTGCAGACGGTGTCAGATATACTGCTACTCTTGCTGGGAGAGCTGACTCGATACTTGGCATGTGGATTCGCACGCTGAAGTCACAGAAACGGCATTTATTATGCTCTATTAGAGTTAATCGTATGTGCCGCTGCGGCTGTAGAGGATGGTGCACCCCCCACCCAGTATGGGCCGCGTTGGCCCACGGCTTCAGAGGATTAGCGCTCGGGAGACGCCCTAGGATGAAATGGGACGGCACCCCTCGCCAACCAGACGATCCATTTTCAGTTGAGCTCCTTGGAGAGGATCTCGGTTTCAGCGCAGTTCTGCTGTTCATGACAGGTCCCTGGGTTCACGGCAACATCGGGCGGGAATCGGGCATATTTTGAATCCGCCACTCGTCCCCCGACCCCCACCGCTCGTTCCCTCTCTCTCCCTCTCGCGCTCTATTCCCCCATCGCTCTATCCCCTCCCACTCCGTCTCCTTCCTCCGACGTCTATTCTACGTCCTTTCCCTCCTCCCCTCGCCTCTCCTCGCCCCCTCGCTCCTCGATCTCTCCGGTCGCTCCCCATCCCCTGGGGCGCGGGCGGAGCCAGAGCCCTCAAGGGGACATGCACGAGTGGCCGACCAGCTTGGGCATCCCCACCGTGACGTCGTCGCACAAGCCTTGCCCTTTTTGCAGTGCGAAGAAAGGGACCATGTATGCAAAGTATTACGCGTGCTCGCTGGAGGCGCTTCCATGGGAGGAGACTGACGACACGAGCCATGAGGTAGAATGCTGCAAGCGTGAGATCGTCGTTAACGTGAACACAGATGACATTCGTCGCCTCATACTCGACATTGGGAAACCGTACTACCCGAAAAGTAAAAAAGGGAGGGGTAGGGCTCTCAGCTGCGCCATTCCAGAGCTTGGACTTCTCCCGAACGACAGGATAGAGCCACACTAAGGCGTGACCCAGGCGCGTTCCTCTTGAGCCCAACCAAGCTAGATACGAAAGCGGTGCCTTTCAAAATCGTGTTCTGGCGGTCTTCTTGGGACGGTAGCAAACTAAAAGATGGCGCCCCCAGGAGGAATCCGATGTTCTCGTTTCGGTTTCTGGGGACGTCTCCGTACAGGACGGTATCATTGGACACTCTGCACGCTCTTTATTTCGGCGCTTTCAGCCGTTTCACGAGCTGCGTTCTGTGGCGGGTGCTGCTCGAGAACCCCTGGAAGATCCCTGGAGAACAGAAAGTAATTGACGAGCAAGGTTGTAGGCGGCTTCGGGCTGACTTCCTTCACTGGCAAGAGCGCAATGACATTCCAATCAACAGGCGGGTGGGCGATTTGACCGTGCACATGTTAGGTGATAAAAAAAAGCTGGGAACACACGCGCGACTTTGCACAAGGGGTCAACTCTGAAGGTCAAAGCTGCAGAAGTAGTGATCATGATGGCTTGGGCCCTCGACCTCCTGCAGAAACACAAAACACAGTTTTTTTTATAAGGAGTTGAACTCGGCAGGGCATGCCCTCGTAGAGTACCACGGGATCCTCACAGACCTGAACGCCCCCCTTGTGGACCTCCCCACCCAGCAGAGAATGATGGTTCTAGCTGTCAGCGCGCTGACCTACATGAAGCAGGCGGGCATCGCAGACGTGCCGAAATTGCACTCCCTGGTCCACCTGACTAAAAAGACCTGGTTACGAATATACAATAGGGTGCAATCACGGGGACCGTAAGCATGGGGTAACGCGATGAAATTAGCGATACGCGTCTTACTGTCCTGGCGCTCCGCGCACGTGCCCCGCCCAATTCACCCCCCCCCCATCCCCGACCGCGACATGGCGGCGAATGATCTCGACGGGCTCCATGGCGAGCTTGGCGATGATGGCCAGCCCTTCCCTCCCGATCGAGCCCGTGCTCGACCCCCGTCCAGTGCCGATCGAGCCGACGCGAACTCACGCGCGAAATCGATTTACGATCGGGACGCCACAATGTTATAGAAATACGTAAACAAATGAGGGCGTAGAGGGGGAGATGCGGAGGAGGAGGTGGGGAGGAAAAGGAGGAAGAGGAGGGATTGCCTTCGATCGGACTTGAACATATTCCCAATTGGCCTCATGAGCACCTACGGTGGGCCCGCACCGGGCCAAGAGAGCCCACGAGGGACTTGCATTAGCCCTCATGATGGCCCCAGAGGGCCGCGAGACAGACCCGAAATCCACGATCGCGACGACCGCGAGGACCACGACGACCA